AAAAAAAAAAAAAAAAAAGAAAAAGAAAAAAAAATGGAATTTGAAGAAGCAGGTTATGTGCTTTATTTTTTCTAAAAAAGAAAAAATCAAAACCAATAGCTCTTAGTTAATATTCATAGCCAGAGAAGTTTGGCAAATTTTAAAAATGTTTAATTCACTCTTAGTTCCACAACTCTTCTAAGAACTTTGCCATGACAGAACCAAGGAACTTTTACAAGAAAAATGACTTTCGTGGTCCTCTCCATTACTTTACAAATTTATAAAGATATTACTAAAATAATATAATTCTTCCATATATATAAACTGTAATGTGTTGCAATATTCTGAAGGTAGAAGTAAGTGCACCTCTGTCAGTCCTTCATTGTTTCCTTAGTCCTTCATTGTTTCCTAAACACATACAGCATGTGATTAACATGCTAAAATGAGGATGTCAGTATCAAAGCATCATATAAAAATATTAATTTATTTTTTAAGATAAGCGATGTAAATTGAAGTTCTAATTGTTTTTTCCACGTTACAATGGCTAGCCCAGCACATCCATTTTAGAGACCTCTGATTTAAGGAATGAACTTCAAGCTCCTTTGTGGTCTTCCACAATCTAATCCCAACCTAACTCTTCAGCTTCAAGTTCTTTTTGAATCTTGGCTTTAGCCAAAATGGTTTGCCTTGCCCTTTTTTCACTTTTTGAGTCCCTATACATGCCCTTTCTTCCACCAAGAATGTACTGCAACTTTCACCCTAACTTATCTATACCTTATGTAACCCTTAAAAACACTGTTTAAATCTTATATTATTTTCTATCAAGTTTTTCAGATCACCATAATCAGGCCTACTCGAAATTCACACATCCAGTCAACAGCAAACATTCAACAAATATTGAAGTACCTGCCATATACCACAAGCACTGAGGATATCACAGCTAATAAATCCATGGCATATATTTATATAAGGTGTTCAACATCTGTATGTTAACCAGTTGCATCAGAATTACCAGATTCTTGGGTGCCCACCCTAGCATCTGAACACTGCACAAAATTTACAAGGAAATAACACACAAAATAAAAAAAAGGAATAAAGGAGGATAACAAATGTCTTCCTAATTTCATGTTACACAGAACTCCAAAACTTCTATTTTTCCATTTTGCTATCTATTAAAACCTACATCAGAAAGTACAATGAAATAGGGAGACATGCTAGAAAAGAGATCATATTAACAAAATCAGATGACTAACAACCTTCTAGTGTTAAAGGTCACCCAACTCATCCCTTCATTCAGACATTTATAAAGCAACCACTATGTGCCAGGTGTTGTTTAAATACACTGCATACACAAACATGAATCCTTGTCTCCGCAAGCTAAACTTTCTGATGGAAAATAACGTTAATCAAAATAATAATCACAGGACGATGTGATAAACATTCTGATAAAAGTATAAAAATGTGATGGAAGCACAGAAGATGGGTGGGGGGGGTGCATGCAAAGGATAAATATGGGAAAGATTAAATGTTCAGTGAAATCTTTCCAGAGGAAGCGCTAAATTGGGTAAGGGTCTGCGCCTAAGGAAGCCTGGGAGAGAATGCTTGAAATGCACTTAAGTTGGCATGGATGCATGGTAAGTTACTTAGGGGAAAATAAGTGATAGGTGAAAACGGAGAGGAAGATGGGACCAGAGGTCCAAGGTTTAGGAATGTCGTCAAGGCCAAGTGACAAATTTAATTTGCCTTTTACAAACACGACTTGTTACTTAGCCTGTAAACACCCTGTGAGCAGAGATCATATATTTATCTTGTAGTAGTGTTCATATATATGTTGATACTCTGTACTACACAAATAGTGAAATTCTGTTCTGGCCTCATCTTGTATCTTTACCCCTCGCTCAAACTTTGATGACATCGGCATTCTCACTTTGCTTTAGTTTATTCCTGCTGTAAGGCTTTTGGCACCTGTTCTCTTCACTTAGTTCTGTTCACACATGGTTGGTCCCTTGACATTTAGGTATCACTAACTATAATTCATAAATGATTATTAAGTTAATGGGGAAACAGATCAGTAAGGAAGAATGAAACTCGTTAATTTTATTTTAAGCATTCTCCCATCAAACTTCTCCACAAGAGTTAATAAGAGAGAAGTGATGGCTTTAAGTTTTAACTTTGTCTCTTCTCACATAAGGAAGTACGTAATATGAAGTAGTAAAGTGGCCAGAAGTTACAATAGCAGGATGGTTTGAAAAGTCCATTTAACTTTTAAACCCTTCAACCCAGGAGAAGAGCTCATTCAAGTTTCACCTTCCCAGAGGAACAACCTGAGGACGGTCCAAGAGCAGCAGCTGGACGGCGGAAGGTGGAAGAGACGTTACCTGCTACCCAGTTCCGCCATGACCCTACCTCACAAAGTTTGCCTTGGCGAACGCGAAATGGGAAAAACCAGACAGGACAACCAGACTCTCCGCAGACTTTTTCCGTGGAGTCCAGGCTAGACCGACAGACTTACGGAAGGGCGTCCCTTTCCCCATACCAGGTTGACCTACCTCTCTGTAAGTCCAACTTGGTTTCGCGGACATAGCTGTCCGGATTCCGGCTCAGCATCTTCACCTTCATCTCGGCTACTCTTGCTCCCCGACTCCACACCCCTCTCCCTCAGGTTCGGTAGGTACTCCGCCGCCCGCTTCCGCACATGCGACTTCCGCCTCTCGCGGACTGCTTCCTGTCACGTGACCCGCGGACCGGCAGGCGCCTGGACGCGCTCCCTACCTCTGTGGGCAAAGGTCGGCAGAGGACGGGTCCTCGGCGAGGGTTCGCTTCCATGTCTTTTGGTCCGAGCCGGGAGCAGTGGTGGGCGGGGCAGGGCAGGGAGGAGAATTGGCACAGGCTGGCAACCGGCTTCCAGCGCGCCGCGCCCCCACCCCCGACACGCCCCTTCTGTGCCAGGGTCCCTCGGCTTCGCCCGGGCCCCCAGGTCTCATTGCCCGTCCCGGAAGTGAGCTCGTGCCTTGCGGTTCCAGCTCCTGGGCGGCGATCGTCGCCACGGTGGCAGCCACTGCATCTCGTCCCACCTCCGCGGCCCTGGGCGCCGTGGTGTCGGCGGCCCCAGAGCCCATGACGGGCCAGGGCCAGTCGGCGTCTGGGTCGTCGGCGTGGAGCACGGTCTTCCGCCATGTCCGGTATGAGAACCTGGTAGCGGGCGTGAGTGGAGGGGTATTATCCAACCTCGCGCTGCACCCGCTCGACCTCGTGAAGATCCGCTTCGCCGGTAAGAGCCTGCCTGGATAACGGGCTGCTTCCTTTCACGGTCAGCCCAAAGTAGGCGGTAAAGACCCCAGGCCTTGGTCTCCTCTGCCTTTTCTGTAGTATAAAGGAGGAGCGCTTTGAAGGAGATGCTATCTACCGTGGCTCATCTGAAACTAGATTCGAGGAAGAGGGGGCCTGGTCAAGGGGTCTGGCCACGGTCTTCTCCGCTCCGCTCCCCAAGACGAAGGGTTGGAGCCTGTGGGTAGAAAGTATGAAAAGAAAATCGTCATTGGTGTGAGATTCAAAGCTTGAAAGGATTATTACATTTTAGGGCTTAATCCTAACCCGTGCAAATTCTTCACCTAGGAGGTACTTTGAAATCTTAATGTAGCCACGTGTCTGGCTGCCCGGCAGAAAGGAAAATGCAAGTGCTTGGGATGGTGCCTAATCCTCAGCGGATGGTTGCAAGTAATTAGATTTGGAATAGAATTCTCATAAAAGTTTCCTTGGGTTTTTTAATATTTATAGTGTGGTACAAAGTCCTGTGAAGGAATGGTGGTTAGACTCTAAATACTGTTTTAAGTATATTGACTGAATTAAGTACGTTAACATAAAGCACTTTAGAAGTTAAACTCAACACTAACGTCTGGAAAGTTTCAAAGATGCTTATTACTACTGTTATTATTTTTGAGATGGACTCTCACTCTGTCACCATGCGAAGAGTGCCATGGTGTCCTGGCTCACACCAACCTCAAACTCTTGGGCTCAAGCGATCCTCTTGCCTCAGCCTCCCAAGTATCACGGAATGCAGACGCCCACAACAGCGCCCGGCTAGTTTTTTTTTTTTTTTTTTAAATTGTAGAGATGGAGGCTATCTTGAACTGAGCTCAAGCAATCCACCTGCCTCAGTCTCTGAAAGTGCTAAGATTACAGGCGTGGTCTACCACAGCTTACAAAGATGATATTTGATTAACTTTATTTGGAAACTTTTGTGGTGGCATTTCAGTTATGATTACAAGTATTGCCTTGAGAATTAAATGTCTAGAAGTGGTTTATCTTAGATAATTCTATTCAGTTCACTTGATGTATGTTCTCAATATTTGTAGACTCCTGTATGGGCTACAGAAGGAATCCAGTAATAAAGGTCTTTCCCTTGAGAAACTTACAATCTAATTGTAGGCTTGAGACTTAGTCATGTAAAAGGCAATTCTAGATAATATAAAATCAAGAGCAAAGTGGAATAAATCCAAATACAAAATATAAGTATAGATAGACTTCAAGAAAATTGTAGATTGCTGATGGTCATATGTATCTGTAAAGGTTACACAGTAGATTAGATCTTGAGGTTCCTTATAGACCTAGTATTTGAAGGACTAGTATTTGATGCCCAGAGAGGAGGCAAGAAACTAATCCATGAAGGAAAATTATGGTTTATTATTCCTAGAAAAAACACCACAAAGGCATATGATTTCATGAAGTTTATGATGCATACACAAATAATAATTATGAACACTAGGAACAAGTAACCTTTATTGAGCATTTACTAGGAGCAAAGCAATGAGCTAAGAACTTAGATGAAATATTTCATTTGCTATCCTTGTGAATTTATGATCCCTACTATACAAATGGGGATATAAATGACAGAAATTGCCTAACTTACCCAAGTCCCAGTTTATAAACGTGGATGTGAGATTTGAACCCAGGCAGTGTAATTATAAAATCCTCTGGCACTACACCATACTACTTGTATGAATCCCTATTGTCTAGTGACCTAAACACGAAGAGAAGAATTTTAGACTTGGCTGCATGCACAGGCCTGTGTGAGTTGAAGTCTCTCTTAAGCAGCCTTTGTCTAGGGGCAGAAGACAGGGCTATGATTATTAAGGAGTTGTGTGGTTGGCTTGGTAAATTTAAGGAGTGCTGTGAAGCAGATCATGCCTGAGGAAAGGGATTCTTGGTATCTGAGAAGATTGGTTGTATTGATGAAATGGGGAGAGTATTGGGAGACTACAGTAGAGTTAAGGTGACAGATAAGGGGATTAAAACTGAATGGGAGGCCTAAATTAAAGATCTAGGAGTCAAAGTAGGATTTTGTAATAGTAATACTAGTCCTGAACACATGTACTATTAAATCAAACTTGGAATTTTTCAGTGAGTTCAAGAGTAAATTGGAACTCAAAGATGTCCAGAGTGGGTAGAAAGATTTAGAAATTACTTCATATGAGAAATGACTAGAGTAACTAGTTTAACTTGGAGTGGGAAAAGATATTTGGAGAACTTCCATATGAGTTGATCCTGAGGTCAGACATAGGTTGAGTGAAAATTAGAGGGAAGCACGTTTTGTCCTGGCAAAGTAGTGGTGCTCTGAATGAAATTGGTGATGACTGGAAGTGGTTGGGTGACAGAGCTCAGAGGATATTCTTGTCTTGGGTGGAAAGGTTGGATTAGGTAATCAGTGAGGTCTCTTCTTTAGGAGGTAATTATAAGTCTTCAAGAACAAGAGAGAGCCTCAACAAAGAAGAGTGATGCATGAAGTATAAAAAGACTAATTTTCTAAAGTAACCCCAAAACCTAATAATCTATGAGTTAAAAGTTAAGCATGAGTTTTTATGAAGAGTGTAGAAAGAAAAGAGAGTATAACTGTATCTAAAAAATTAATCAAAGGAACCAAAATGTAAAATTCAATAAGAATAACACACAGTAAAGCATTGTATTATATTTGTATGGTATTCCAAGACCCAACAGCATAAATAAACTAATAATTAGTGAATGCTTGCAATATGCCAGGATTAATTCTGAGGCCTTTGTATGTATTGTCTCATTTAATCTTTTGTAATTTTTAGAGATTGGTTCTATTATTTTTCCTGTTTTATGGATGAGAAAACTCAGGCACAGAATAATGAAGAGACTTACTCAGGGTCTCCCAGTAATTGTTAGAATTGGGTTTCAAACCAAACCATGAATAGGTAGTTGGGTCTAGCTAATGAGTAAATTAAAATCCTAGAGATAAAAATAGAGAATTATTCCAGAAAGTTAATTAAGTTGCCAGATGGACACAACTATGCCATGTAAAAAGGGAAGTCAGGTCTGGTTGTTTGGAATGAGATCAAGACTGCAAATGAAGAAACTGTAGCACAGGGATGGCAAGTGAAGCCTCTTAGTGGTTGAGAGATCACCCCAGTTGGGGAGAAAGAGTGTCTATAAAAACCAAATTTAAGGATGAGTAGAGGAAGAGCTGGCCAAAGAAATTTTGTGGCAATAAAAAGCAAAATAGGTAAGTGTGGGGTTAAAAAGAAGAGAGTGCTTTAGTAGGCAAGCAATGTCAGGTGCCAGTAAGGAATTAGTAAGAAAGAAGAATCCCAAAGTGTACTTGGAAGTCCTTACCTAGAGCCCTCAAAGTAATGGGTTAGGCTCAAACCAGATTGTAATGGAGAGAAGAGAAACTCCTGCTGAGATTTTTGGGTTGTCTCTTTGCAGAAGTTTAACAAGCAAGGAGGCCCTGGGATTAAGGAGAGAAATATGCAGGAGAGACTTAAACCTATTGAAATTCTGATGGGAAATAGCTGAAAGCAAGGGAGAGATTGGAGATGGGGGGGGGGGCTGGAAAATAATCAGTGAAGTTTGTAAAGTGAAGAGAAGGGAGTCTAAGGCAGCGGTTCTCAACCTATGGGTCGCGACCCATAGGAACTCTATTAAAGGGTTGAAGTATTAGGAAGGTTGAGAACCATTGGACTAAGGGAACAGGAGCTTTTTTTGACTAGAACCCTTAGTAGGAAATACATTTTACCATTGCCATCCAGGGTATTTACATATTTACATTATGAAAACACAAGTTTCAGGGAACAGTATTTATCCTTAATACTTGTGATGTAATTTATATGTTTCTACTCTAGTTTTTTTGTAAGAAATGATACTGGCAATCTGCTAAATCTATTTCTTGACTCATCGGGAGTTTAAAAAGTACCAATGTAGAGCATAGGTAGAGGGGATTAAAATTAAGAGAAGCAAATGGCTTCAGTTGTAACAGAAGAAAAGAGGGGCAAAACTAATATCCAACAAAAGCAACTGGTTGTATTAGTGTGATAGTGCTGGGTGGTGATTTTTTAAGAAGTCTTTATGTTGTCTTTCCTTGACAGTGAACTTCAAGTTAGCATCCTTTATCTTGGCTCCCTCCCATACACCAAACTTTATCATCACCTTGTATCTATTAGTATCTTATGTGTGATTTTCAAGAACCTTTGCAGTTAGTCTTGCCATAACAAAACACCACAGACAGTGTCCATTAAACATAAATTTATTTTCCCAGTTCTAGGGGTTGGGAAGTCTAAAATAAAGATGCTGACAGAGTTGGTTTCTGATGCGGCCTCTCTCCTTGGCTTACAAATGGCCTTTTCTCTGTGCTTGTGTTCTCCTGGTATCTTCTTCTTATAAGGAAATCAGTCCTATCTTATCTAGGCCCTCACCGTTATGCCCTCATTTGACCTGTATTACCTTAAAAGCCTTGTCTGCAGATGGTCACATCAGGAGTTGGTACTTCAACATAAGAATTTTGGGGAGTGGCAGTTCAGTCTATAATAGGCCTTTGCCTTTCTTCCCAGCCTAATTGCCTACCATCTTTTCCCTCCACCAGTCTGGTACTTCAGCTATACCCAGTCCCCAGTGCTGTTTCTACTCCCCATACCCCAATAGTGCCAGGTGCAATGCTGCTGCCATGGGAACAGCATCAACTGTTTCACTTGTCTAGATATAAACCTTTCTCTTCTGAATGTTCCCAATCATTTGTGCCTGTTTCTAAGATGTTTAATACTCTACTTAGAAAATTAAATGACTCCTGAGTTCAAGCGATGCTCCTGCCTCAGCCTCCCAGAGTACTAGAAGAATAGGGGTGAGCCACTTCACCTGGCCAAACCTAGTGTACTTTAATCTCACTTCATGCTGTAACATTGGCAAGTTAATGATGAAAGAAATTGACTTTTCCCCCTTTGCCTGGCATGTTAAACAATCAGTGGTTATTCTTTACCAGGCTCCATTGTACATAATGAAACAGTGGCAAGGGGACAGAGAACTGAGGCTGCTCATGTGTCGTCTTGCCAGCATCCTGATGTCATTGAACTCCTGGCTAGTTTATTTTGGGGTAATATTTTTGAACATTGGAATCCTCAATCTTGAAACTAAGATAAAACTTAAGTGTTGAAAACTGTTTACCCAAGAGGCTTTTGGATTATTTAAGAGCTAATCTAACACTTTCTAAAATATTACTTGGGTGTCCAGTATGCCCTCAATAAAACTTGGATTAATTCATAAGTATATTAATTTGAAGTGTTAAGTAATCCTGGAAAATAATTTTCTCTGCCTAAAAACGGGTTTTCTGAGTTTATTTCCTTTGTATAACTGATAGTGTAAAATCTATGTTTATATGTGATTCAGAACTAGAACTTCGTTCTCACCTAACTTTGTATATCCTTTAATACAGTGAGTGATGGATTGGAACTGAGACCAAAATATAAAGGAATTTTACATTGCTTGACTACCATTTGGAAACTTAATGGACTACGGGGACTTTATCAAGGAGTAACTCCAAATGTCTGGGGTGCAGGCTTATCCTGGGGACTCTACTTTTTCTTGTGAGTAGAACTGGGAGATTTTATAATAGTAAGTAAAAAGGAATTTTTGTTTTTAGTGATTTTTTACATATCAGATGATGAAACAAGATGAGTCTTTTTGGGGTGGCGCCTATGGCTCAGTGAGGAGGGTGGCGGGTTCAAACCCAGCCACGGCCAAACTACAGCAAAAAATAGCTGGGCATTGTGGTGGATGCCTGTGGTCCCAGCTACTTGGGAGGCTGAGGCAAGAGAATGGCCTAAGCCCAAGAGCTGGAGGTTTCTGTGAGCTGTGACACCATGGCACACTACCAAAGGCAACAGAGTGAGACTCTGTCTCTAAAAAAAAAAAGAAGATGAGTCTTTTCTCTGAATTGGAAGGATCAGAAAGAGCAAAATGGCTTATTGGTTTCTTTCCCGTCAGCCATTATCAGAAGCATTTGGTCTAGAAGAAAGTTGTTAATTGGGAAAAGGTGAAGGGATGAAATGAAGAAATAGTTTTACAGAAGCCATTTTAGTGAGATGAATTAAGGAAGGTGAGTGAAATGTTTAACTGATTAATTTTGTAAACTGAACACTCCCTATTAAAAAAAAAGAGCTGCAGATAATTCTTAATGAAATTGCAGAGCCACTTCGGTATTTATTTTTGAGGTGTTTTGCATGTAAGTACATATTCTTGAGCATTTCTAACAGTCAAAATAGATTAGAAAAAGTTGTATCAGCTGGTTTGTTATTTATTAATAGTTTTGTAAAGTATTGTAAAGACCGGAGGAACCTGAAATTGTTGCCTAAAATGAATCCTACTAATTTCAGTTCTCTTTGGTATCTATTTTTGATAAAGGAAGAGTGTTTAAATAAATAAGTCATTTTCTCCAGTTATAGAGATTAGTTCCAGAGTACCCCCCAAATAGAATATTTTATGAATGCTAAAGTATTACTAGATAGTTACTTATTAATCCTCAACCATTTTCTCAAAATATTTGAGATGGCTTACAGAAAATACATTTGATGAATAATGAAGTTGGAAAAGCAGAAGAGTTCTCATGTTCTTAGAGTTCTCATGCGAATATGTACCACAAGAGATATCCCTGTTGAGAACAGAAAGTAAAAACCAGTGCATGGCTGAAAGGGTTTGAAGCATGTTGCTTCTTTTGTTTTATCTGACCATCATCTTCCTAGCTCATTCATGTCTTTACTCCTTCCCCTGTCAGATTATCATCACCCCATTTGAAATAACTACTCTTGCTTCCCAAAGAAGCTACAGAAAGTGTCTAAGGGAGGCCCATTGAGCTCACTGAGTGTATGAGAGCATGTCACAAAGCATGACGGCACTGCGTTGGAGGAGCTTGGGTCTGCTCTGAGCACGCCTCTGATATTTGAAACTGAAGCCATGAATAGGGAAGCTTTTGTTTTAACCCATAGCATTTTTAGGAAAACCAATACCTAGTATACTTATGTCCTGTATCTTTCTTGGTCTCCTTTAAGTTTACGCGGTATCCAAACTAGTCTTAAAATATCTTTTAACTATAAAAGAAACTTTTAAGTAAAAGCAAAATAAAATTCAGACTTAGCGTTGTTACATATTTTATTATTTTCAGTCCTAAAACATACTTAAATGGGTGAAACTACATATACAACACACATATTTTTGTTTCATGTATATATAGATATATGCTTTATATCGAACATACTTTATGAATTTCAGTTGAATAGATTGTCCAAGAGAGTTTCTAAGGACAAGCCATATGAGTATAAGGTTTATGTGAAGAATTTTGTATAATAAAAGAGTTTACTTGTTACATATCAGAATGGTATTGGTAAAGTTTGAAAAGATTTATTCAACTGAAGTCTTCTAAGAGGAAAGTGGATTTAGTGTTAGAGAAAATAGGCTAATTTGACTTCCCTGTCCAGAGGCCTTTGGCAGCTATTTTCTGATAAAACCCTGTCTGTTGCTCATGTGTGACTCAATTTTCCATCTTTCCATACCCGTTCATTACCATGTTCTTCTCTTTGCCTGTTGAAACTGTCTGTCCCTAACACCCAGCTCAATACCACCTCCTATGTGTATACAAAGACTTCTGGATCTCCAGCATAGCTTCTGAATCTGTGTGACTGTCTTTGTTGTCTTTTATTATGATTATTTGTGCACCACTTATGGTCCTTATAGTCTGTTAAGAAAAATTCATCCCAAGTTTATCTCTTTTAGCTATAAAAAGATAGGAAGCCAGCTGTATTATGTGAACACAGGGGTTAAGCACATATGTGTTAGTTTTTTTGGTTTTTTTGCCTTTTCTGCTTATTCTCTGCACCATCACTCCACGCTTCCTTCTTCCCAGTTTTCCTGTCTTTTTTAATTAATTGACTAAAACATTTTACATATGTGTTTTTAGCCACGTACATTTGGAGGGAGGGAATTTCAGTGACTCATTTCTATTCTTGAAAAAGTTCTCATTTTGTGTGTGCCTTTGGTGTTTTCTTTTACTTGTGTGGTACTGTCGTTATGCACACTTTAAAATAGACTTCATTGCTTTGTGACACCTATTCAAATTCAACTGCTTTTGTTTAATTCTTTTAGTTACAATGCAATCAAATCTTATAAGACTGAGGGAAGAGCTGAACGTTTAGAGGCAACAGAATACCTCATCTCAGCTGCTGAAGCTGGTAAGAGAATGCATGAAATATAAAATACATTACAGTTATCAAAGTTGGACTTAAAAGACTAATTTTGTTTTTCCTTCTGGATGGTATACATATAGGAGCCAATCAAACATGGCCACTAAATTATATAATTTTAAAACTCAAATTGTACTTTGATTAATAAGAATATCTGCTTTCTAATAAATTCCAAGTAATAACTGATTAATATGGTTAGATGAGCATGTTTAAACTTGGGTGTTCAAAGAAAAAAGGGAAATAATATAGAACTTTTTACAGATCTACTTAAATGTTTTTTCTACATAATTTTTACTTTATATTTTAAAAGAAATATTGTCCAAAAATGCTGTTTCAGATATAGGCCCTGTGTAATCTTATTCTTTACATAAATAGACTGTTCTTAATTTGGATTACTGTGAGAAAGTACCTGTATGCTGAGTAATCTAATTTAAATCTTGTTTTAGGAGCCATGACCCTCTGCATTACAAACCCATTATGGGTAACAAAAACTCGCCTGATGTTACAGTATGATGGTGTCGTTAATTCCCCACAGCAACAATATAAAGGAATGTTTGATACACTTGTGAAAATATATAAATATGAAGGTGTGCGTGGATTGTATAAGGTAACAAGTTATTATCAATATAGCTTGAATAACTAAAAATTGTAATTTCCATTGGTGCAATGAAAATTCAAAAAAGAAGCCAAAGTTAGTAAAAAACAATTTAATGAAAACTGAAATCTAGGGCGGCACCTATGGCTCAGCGAGTAGGGCTCCAGCCCCATATACCAAGGGTGGCAGGTTCAAACCCAGCCCTGGCCAAACTGCAACAAAAAATAGCTGGGCGTTGTGGTGGGTGTCTGTTGTCCCGGCTACTTGGGAGGCTGAGGCAACAGAATCTCCTAAGCCCAGGAGTTGGAGGTTGCTGTGAACAGAGTGATGCCACAGCACTCTATGGAGGGTGATAAAGTGAGACTCTGTCTCTACCAAAAAAAACAAATTGAAATCTAGTTTATAGTACTTGAAGCTGTTTTCTCTCAATTACCGTAACACGTAGCATCATGATAGTGATGGGTGTGAGAACTATTTAAAACTTTAGTTAAGTATCATTTTCTTCCTTGTGGCAATAACCTAGATGTTTTCTGATTTTATAGCTCCTTTTCTCTTTATTTACCCCTTCTTTACCTTCCATTCCCACCTCTTGTTTATTCCCATGAAAATTTTTTAGGCATACATAGTTTAAAATCAAAATTAGGTACATGGAATTTTAGTTTGTTTTCTAAGAATTGTGTAATAGCTTTTAAAATCATTAACATTATAAGGTTGGTGTTATGGATTATTGACATATGGGCAAAATTTTTCAAATTATACCGTGTAATTCTGTGTTCTTTTTCATCACTTCTTGCCTTATTCTTTTAGAATATCTATGCTCAGTCTATTGAATTACTATAACCTTTATGTTCTTGGTTTTTCAGAATTTAATCTCCCATTCACACTCCAATTCTTCCATATATATATGTTATTTACAGAAAAACTATTATGAAAATCTAAACCATAACCATTCCCTTGTAGGGATTTATTCCTGGGCTGTTTGGAACATCACATGGTGCCCTTCAGTTTATGGCATATGAACTGCTGAAGTTGAAGTATAACCAGCATATCAATAGATTACCAGAAGCACAATTGGTAAGATGATTCTTGTAAAAATGTTATTTACTTTCCTGTACATTTAATAGGTAGAAATTTTGTCATGCCTATGTTGGTAGTATTGCTATGATAATGAATACCAACTGCCACTAAGTAAGTAACTATTTCACGGGGTAAAGCCACACAAATGTTAAAAATAGAACCCTTTAGGGTGGCCCCTGTGGCTCAAGGAGTAGGGTGCTAGCCCCTGCAGGTGGCGGATTCAAACCCGGCCCCAGCCAAAAACTGCAAAAAAAAAAAAAAAAAAAAATAGAACCCCTTGAAAGTTAATTTAAGTGGTTTTTGCATACAATTTTTACTTCTATAGTTTTAAAGAAATCTTGTCTAAAGAAAAATATAAATATTTTGTGTTGTCATTTCAGAGCACAGTAGAATATATATCTGTTGCAGCACTATCCAAAATATTTGCTGTAGCAGCAACATACCCATATCAAGTTGTGAGAGCTCGTCTTCAGGATCAACACATGTGTTACAGTGGTGTAATGGATGTTATCGCAAAGACATGGAGGTGAGAGCATGTGAGATATCACAATTGCTCTGGTAAGGTGCCTTGAGTATCTTAGACTGTCCAGTTTGCTATGGCAAAAATATGGCTGGTAGTCCCTGCTTTTTCATTTACTCAGTTTGTTATCATGGACGTAATCTCTCTGAAGCTTGACTCCATCATTATTAAAATAAGACTCTCTGGACTAAAAAAGTTGTTATAAAAATTAAATGAGATGTGAAAACATTTTGAAAAATTAAACAAAATTTAGGTTACAAAATACTTGAATGGCATTGAATATAAGAAGTATAAACCTAGTTTACTACATGTGAGAAGGCCCTACACCTGCTATTAACACCATAACTTTTGCAAATACTTGTCTCTATGTATGGAAGAGGTACTTGTTCTTCAGTATGAGACTAAACTACTATAGGTAGACATTATCATATTTCCCTTTAATTCTCAGAAGCCAAAGCAGAATATTTAAAATGTTTAAATCTGGCTCGGCGCCTATAGCTCAACCGGCTAAGGCGCCAGCCACGTACACCTAAGGTGGCAGGTTCGAATCCCCAGCCTGGACCCGCCAAACAACAATGACGGCTGCAACCAAAAAATAGCCGGGCGTTGTGGCGGGCGCCTGTGGTCCCAGCTACTAGGGAGGTGGAGGCAGGAGACTCGCTTGAGCCCAGGAGTTGGAGGTTGCTGTGAGCTGTAATGCCACGGCACCCTACCCAGGGGGAGAGCTTGAGGCTCTGTCTCAAAAAAAAAAAAAAAAAAAAAAAAAATGTTTAAATCTAGATTTAATTTAATATTTAATGAGAACCTAAATGACAACTTTCTAGGCGGTATCCCTATTCTAGGCATTAAGAAAATAAAAGTTTTCTTTTTGTGTGTGCTATATTTAGTGTTGGCAAGCATTTATATAAGCAGTAAAAATTTTATTTCATTTTATTTTTAAAGACAGGACCTTACTTTATTGCACAGGCTGGAATGCAGTGGTGCAAGCATAACTCAATATAACCTCAAACTCCTTCAACCTTAGCCTCCCAGTAGATGGGACTGTAGGCATGCTCAGCTACCTTAAATTTTTATTTTTTTTTTAGAGACAGGGTTTCACTATGTTGCTTAGCCTGGTTCAAACTCCTGGCCTCAAGTGATCCTCCTACCTCAGCCTCCCAAAGTACTGGGATTATAGACATAAACGACTGTGCCCAACCAACTACAAGATTTTCAATCCCTCTATTAAATCAGTTAAAACTCTTACATGTTCATACATTTAAAAGCATTTAAAATATAGTTAATTTAAAGCACTATTTAGTTCAATTTTCAGATATTCCTACCCTTTCTTCTTCCTCAGTGCACAAAAGGAACATAAGCCCCTGAAAATGACTAATAAACTACATTTTTTTAGGACACTGAAAACCTAGAATTAAATCAGTGAGGTACTGATTGCTTGCTCTGTGTCTTATGTCAGTTAGACGTTTGTGTTTTCAAGCTAGCTGTTTAGAAAATTAAGCATGTCTGTTTTTCTCTCTATAGGAAAGAAGGCATTGGTGGATTTTACAAAGGAATTGCCCCCAATTTGATTAGAGTGACGCCTGCCTGCTGTATTACCTTTGTGGTATATGAAAATGTCTCACATTTTTTACTTGACCTGAGAGAAAAGAGAAAGTAAGCTAAAAGAAAATAATTCCAATCTATCTGCTCAAGGTGACAACAAGATTTTTTATGTTTGAAGTGTAAACTCTGAAGAATGCTGCATAGTAACATGGCTCATAATCAAAACTAGTCTATAATTGTTAGAAGTCTAAGAACTGCTAAGGCTTCACGATGTTTTTCTGCTTTTTGCCTTCCCCATATATATGGGACTTGGATACCTCTGCCTGAAATGACTGCCATCAACACAATGCCAAAACGGCCATCAAGTGTAATTTCACAAATCTCTTCATTTCATTATTCAGCTAGAAGTTGACTTGCAACATTTGCTAAATGGATTAGATGAATATGCTGCTTTTTCTGAACTTATTTGCCTGAGTTGGCTTTAAAATTAACCTTTGTGCAATAGCAAGAAAATAGCTTCTTACAAGAAATGCATTGTGTGTTTCCAGGGGAAATTAAACTTTCAGGATTTACTGGATAAGATGTTGCTCCTCCAGACCATTTTAGAATTGAGAGTTTTTAATGAGAAAAAATGACTTTAAATGTGCTTTAGTTTTAATTTGATTGGGATGCACTAACCACAGAAACTTGAGAAGTTATGTACTTCTCTGAGAAATATGACATCTGTTATCATTGTTAATTTTTTTTCCAGGAACTTCCGTAATTTAAAATGTAATCCTGAATCCAGTTGTTATTTTGGGGGGAGGGGGGTGTAGGAGGCATGGTACTTAGTATACTTTAAATTTTTTAAATCTGAACTTCTACAATCCACCGATATTGTTGGCCTTTAATATACATGGCTGTAAATCACTTATTGAAGATGATAAAGAGATCACCTTTTAGAGATGCTTGAATGTTTGGGATGTGTTTGCTGATAAACTGGAAATGAGAGACTTTAACTTTCTACTTAAATTTTCACATATGTGGGTCTAGATACCAAATAAATGATAAATGTACATTGGTCGCCCAAATTAGGATTGAAATGCAAATTACATTAATGACCATTGTTGATTTCACTTTTAAGAGTCATTGTAGATATCTATAAATTTATAAGCCTACCCCAAGGGGATGCCAGAATAATACTAGTATTTTTATTTATCATACACATCTATGAGTGCTGTTAAATTATCATCTACTTAGTGTAAATAAAATGTGGTTTTCAAGGCCATATTTAAGTAGGTCTTTGAAAATAGTCTATTTTTTTATATTTTGCAAATGGCATTGTTTTTAAAATAAAGACGAAATAACGAATACCTAATTGTATTTACTATATCTTGTAACATGCATAGGAAGGCTTTATATATTAAATGTGATGTATTTTTTTCATACTTCTGTATTGTACTATAATTAAAATGAAATCCTAATATTAGTTCCCAAACATAAAAACAAATTGCTGTTAAAATTTGGAGTTTTAGAGATGTACCATTATTTGAATGCCTCCTCTATACTCCCAAATTAATAAAACATAATTATTATCCTGTAAGAGCATACAGCTTTGCATAATAAATAACTATGCATTAAATAACTGCAGTTCTATATTAAAAACATGCAAGGAAGCTTCTGTAAATTCTTTCTGTAAATTTACAAAGCCCTGTAAATTCTGGGTAAAGAGAATTCACTTCACTCATTGAGAAACTGGACTTCTGCTGTATGCCAACTATGTCACCAAGCATTTATGCCCTCAGGGAATTTTCATTTTGGTGTGAGTGACAGCAGAATATATGCATATTAATAGTTTCAGGTGTTAAATGCTATAAACCAAACTAAAGCAGAGTTAGGGATAATGTAGCTATCTTAGATGAGGAAGAGTTTTCTGCTTGGGTAAGGAAAAGTCTCTTTGAGGAGGGCGTATTTGAAATATTTTGAAAGAAGTGAGGAAGCAAGCTACTATGAGATAGAAGAAACATTCTCCAGGCCCCACGGGCCACATGCGGCCCACTATCTGGCCCACCGGGTATTTTTGCCGCTGCTGCCTGTCCTGCTTAGCAGCCGACTCATCCTGGGGCCCGCAGTCCTGCCCTCCAACAGTCTGAGGAACAGTGAACTGACCCCTGTTTAAAAAGTTTGAGGACCCCTGAGAGAATAGGAAGAACAAAGGCCCTGGGGCAGGAATTAACTTGGCTGGAGGGGGTACATGAGGGGGGAGAGGAAATTGAAGAAGTGGCCACTCCAGTCTGATGGGAAAGACTGCCTGGCTTCAAATTTCAGCTTTCCCACCTGATACATCATTTTTCTTCTCTTCGAGTTAAAGTTTTTCATCTGTAAAATAGTATCTTAGTGCAATTCCTCTATAGCGATCTCTAAAATAGGGATTATTGGACAAGTGGTTAAAGGACGGCTTTTAGGAGAAATATGAAATTGAGTCTGAAAAACAAGAAAGGCACCAGGAGGAAGAGTTTGAGGAGGAGTGCAGCCTGGGGCTGATCCCACAGAGCATTCTGCAGAATAATTGGATTAGAGTAGTTTTCCTGCCCAGAAGTCTGGGGGTTAGGCCATTAGTAGGTTCTCACATTTTGAAGTCATTGACTGCTGCCATGGGGAGAAGAAGGGCTAGAGTGTCTAGGTGCCTTTCCTTAGCCAAGGACAGTCTAAATAAGGGGGGAGTGTGAGCTATTAGTGAGCTATTAGCAACCAGCCTTAGAGCAGCTAGGGTAGGGGTGCTAGCTCTATAAAAGGGATCTGACTGGGTGAGTCACCAACAGCATCTGCTGCAAATGAGGATATTAAAAGTACATAGTGGTAGGGTTATTGAGAGGATTAAATGAATTAATTTAAACAACATGCTTAACACAGTGCCTGGGCCAAATGTTAGCAAAAGTCATGTCTTGTCAGGTCTGAAAGGCCATGATGAGGAGTTTAGACTGTATGAACAATCATTCTGGTGATTTGTATGGAGAAACAATTAGGAAACAGGCGGGAAGCAGAGATACTAGTTAAGAATCTTTTGTGGCTTGGCACCTGTGGCTCAAGTGGCTAGGGCGCCAGCCACATACACCTAAGGTGGCGGGTTCGAATCCAGCCCAGGCCTGCCAAACAACAATGAAAGCTGCAACCAAAAAATAGCTGGGCGTTGTGGCAGGCACCTGTAGTCCCAGCTACTTGGGAGGCTGAGGCAGGAGACTCGCTTGAGCCCAGGAGTTGGAGGTTGCTGTGAGCTGTGATGCCACATCACTGTACCCAGGGTGACAGCTAGAGGCTCTATCTCAAAAAAAAAAAAAAGAATCTTTTGTTATGGCCGGGCATGGTGGCTCACGCCTGTTGTCCCAGTGCTGTGGGAGGCCGAGGCGAGTGGATCACCTGAGCTCAGCCGAGTTCAAGACCAGCTGAAAACCAGCCTGAGGCCTAGTGAGCCAGAGGGAGACCCTGTCTCTACAACAACAACAACAAGAAGACAGCCGGACCTTGTGATCCCAGCTACATGGGGGGCAAGGGAACACTACAGGAGGAAGAAGTAAAACAAAAACAAAACAAAAAACTTTCAAAGTAAGATAAGTTGAAAGCAAAAATTTAAAAAAAAATCTTTTGTTCCAAAAGTCTAGTAAAGAGCTAGTGGTAGCTTGGACCTGGCTGCTCTGGTAGCTTAGACCTGGCTGCTGGAATTGGAAGTAGTGATTTATAGCTTGGGAGGAACTAGAGCAGAGTTCATGGAGGGGAAAACATTTAAGATGGGTATTGAAAGAAGAGATTCTAAAGGGAATCTTAAGGGGACCATGGAAATAAAGAAAGTGCAGGTGACCTGTGCTGCAGTGACTTTGTCAGTCAACATGGTAATGAATGAATGGATGGAATGGAAGTGGATAAGAGAGCTTCAGGATTGGGGCCAGAACATGAGAGCTGTCAGAGCCTTACAAAACTTGTCTAGGTTTTATGGGGTAGAAGGGAGAGTGATTAGAACAGAGAGACATGGCTGCTTCTTAGGGGTGACAGAGGAAGACAATCAGATAAGAAGAGCAAACTCAAACAACAGGTTGTTATTACCATGTAAATATTTCAGTAGGATGAAGATTGGGGCCATTGATAACTTTGAGCAGATTCAAATTAGAGAGGCTGAAGACAGATTGCAGGCAGCTTAGGAGATAGGGCAACTACAAGTATTCATTTCATTACGGACTCTTTCCTGGATTTTGGCAGATGAAAGAAAGGTAAAGAACTTCAGCTTGAAAAGGTACTGCAAGTCTAGGAAGTGGTGGAATGGGGGAGGTTGGCAAAAGGAAAACTAGAACTATAAGGAGAACTCAAAGATACAAGCTCCCCCCACGCCCCACCCAAAAGAAAACAGAACAAAAATTTGTGAATTGGTAGAGCTATGCACCAGAGAACATGATCAAAGATGATGATGCCATGCCTTGTGAAAAGAAGGTTGTGACATTTCAATAGTGATTTTTGTGGTCTGACAGCATTCTTAGGAAGTTACACTTTTTATACACCACACTGCAAAAGGGATGTCAACTAAAAAGTATGCTTGAGTTTGAGTTTGGATTTTCTTTGAATATGGACATTTTTGAATAAAATCTTGCAGATAAGTACAAATTACTACCATTTTCATAGCAAGGTTTCCTTAGTGAGACAATAACATCAAAACAGAAATACTAGGTCGGGCGTAGTGGCTCATGCCTGTAATCCTAGCACTCTGGGAGCCCAAGGCAGGTGGATTGCCTTAGCTTAGGAGTTCTAGAATAGCCTGAACAGGAGTAAGACCCCATCTCTAAAAATAGCTGGGTGGAGGCTGAGGCAAGAGGATCATTTGAGCCCAAAGAGTTTGAGGTTGCTGTGAGCTAAGATGCCATGGCACACTACCCAAGTGAGACTCTGTCTAAAAAAAAAAAAGGAAGAAAGAAAGAAAAAAAAGTACTGTGAAATAACTTACCACTTTGTCTTCTAAAAATGTGTTAGGTAACATGCAGAAAATGTGCAAAGTTTTGGGATAAAGTCTTAAATTTCTTTCTAAAGGAGTAGGAAATAGACTCTGGAAATATCTGCAATGAATACCTCTTACTGGCTGCCCAGCGTCCATTTCTCTTCTTTCTTGGAGTAGTAGCCTGGATTTCTTTGGGGAACGTACCCTCTCCCTCCGTGCTCAGCTTTGTGATTAAGATGGGATCAGCCTCGCCTGCCCCAGAAATGCAGAACCAATCTGAATGCACCATCTGTGTTCACAAAGAATGATTTGGAATTGGTGCAGTTACTTAAGTTCGTCCAATATGAGTGACTTTGAAGTCTGTTTCTTTGTTTTTGTCTTTGTTGGAGATAGGTCTTGCTTTTTTGCCCTGGCGGGTTTAAACTTGCCTCCACCTCATAAGTAGTTGGGATTAACAGGTGTGTGCACTATGGCTGGCAAGTTAGGATGTTTCTGCGGATGAAAAGCCGGGGTAGTCTTTGTTCACATTGAAAGGATGTTGGGAACAACAGAGTGTGCCATGAAAATTTTTAAAGATCATTTATTAAATTATTGAAAGAAGTTCAATAATTTAAGTGTGCCATGGAAGTTTAACTATGGGCTCAAGAGTGCCATGAGATTAAAAAAAAAAAAGGTTGGGGTGGTGCCTGTGGCTCAAAGGAGTAGGGCGCCAGCCCCATATATCAAAGGTGGTGGGTTCAAACCCGGCCCCGGCCAAAAACTGCAAAAAAAAAAAGGTTGAAAAACACTGCTGTAGGGAAAAGGGAAAGTGGCTGATGGGTGGGCATGCAGAGGGAGTCAGGCACTGCCATAGGCATGAAGCAAGGAGCATGTGGGATCCATATGAAGAATCATCCAGTTCATTAATATAGAGTGGATACTGAAGGATAAATTTGGAGCTGAGAAGTGATAAACCTATTGATAAAAAGGGCCCAACCAGTCCCT